CTCTGTGTCGTGTGTAAGATAGTTCTATTTGAATGAATATTGAGCACTCTACCGAGCCGGATGACTCTCATTTGTAATTAACGCTCAAACACACATAATATAATTATACGGTCTCTGAATTAATATCGATGAAAGTAAAGTGAGCGCACTCATACCACGAGAACAATGGAACAATATTATAAGATTCGAACGTCATTTTCACGTCATTATCATCAGAAATCATCATCACACTGAGTGTTGGACTACAAAGGAAAGATATAATGGTACCATAAAGTGAACAATATTGGATCTAAAACTGATACCAGAAACACTGATATTCTAAAGCTAGCACCAGTAAAGGTGTATCAAACAGCATGTACCTTTATTACCAAGAGTACATAACCCTGGGGTTATGTACTCCTGATTGGAAAATTTTATTTCCATTGCTATCAGGTTCGGCCTCATTTCCTCTGTGCTGCGCTGACGAGTCCACAAAGGACGAAACAGTTCTGTCCGCAGATTGAGTATTTCGCTCCTGCTCTTGTAGCAGTTGAGCACTCTTGCGTGGGGTAGTGCCTTTGCTGTTTGCGTTATGCAGAGCTCACTGACTTGTCAGTTTGAGCACTCTGGCAAGGTACGTTCGGGCCTGATTGGAAATTTTTATTTCCATTGCTATCAGGTTCGGCCTCATTTCCTCTGTGCTGCGCTGACGAGTCCACAAAGGACGAAACAGTTCTGTCCGCAGATTGAGTAACCCTGGGGTTATGTACTCTTGGTAATACTAACCACCATGTACCTTTATATATCCTGTCACCGTCTGCACGAGCTCAACGGCCAAAGCGAGGAAGACCGCGCATCCGCCCTACTCCGCTGACATCACAGGAGTCAGGATGTGTGCTCCTCGGTTCTGTCCCGGATATACCGAAGTCTGACTCCGAGAACATACCACTAGCGCACGGGAAACTTTTGTCGAACATACCCCTGCCAACATCTGAAATGGCTAACTCCATCCCTGCGTACAGTAAACAGCCGAAATACGACAGGGCACAACCTTCAACTAAGCCTCTTACCTCCTCAGTTCCTGACATAGTGATTTCGCAACAACATCCATCAACAGCAAAGAGGAAGAGAGGTAGGCCTCGTAAAACACCTGTGCCAATATCTCCACCCCTATCCCCTATCCCTTCCTCCACCCTCTTTGCAGCCTGCTGCGCAATCCATGGATGGTCTTGATGCGGCATCAGTCATAGAGTCTTCACTGCCCCAGGTTACCATGAATGTCACAACAAACTCCTCACCAGCTAAAAGAAAAAATAGGAACGGACTGAAGGCAGAACAACAACGCTGTTGACGCTCTGGATATGAGCAGCAGGCCACCGACAGGTCTAACTCAGTCGAATAACTCGGACACGGATTGTTGGCAACAACGGAATGAGGATGTTGTAACAGGTTCCACTGGTCTCCTGTTGCCGGCACGCCCACGACGCACAACGGCCAATTATGGAAGAGTGAATGCGCCGGAGGATCAAGGAGTACGGACAAGACACAAACGCAAGGGACGGAAATCGGAAGTCGTGGATGAAGATCGTGAGAGTGATAACGTTAGCAGCGAGAATGAGGGAGAGGGTACCCAGGAGCCTGCCGCTGATCATGCAGTGTTTGTGAGTACTCGTAAACCTGCTGCATTCAAGCATTTGGTGTCCAACCCCCAGTGTTTGCAGTTGTATGATGATTCGTGCTTTAGTGTGGTGTGCTATGCTAGTAGTTTTCGTCTACTCTCCGTATTTGAAGCCCTGTTTTTTTCGTACTCGTAATCCAGATTTATGCAAACAAAAAGAATTCGTTACAGCACTCACACTCTTCACATACCCACTCATATACCCACTCACATACATGTACCTTTCTCATCTGCATTTCTTCAATTTGCACATGCTATCACACTGCTCCGCTCGCTCCCCATGTAATAACGCCTTTACTAGTGCTAGCTTTAGAATATCAGTGTTTCTGGTATTAGCTTTAGATCCAACATTGTTCACTTTATGGTACCATATATCTTTCCTTTGTAGTCCAACTCCCAGTGTGATGATGATTTCTGATGAAAATCACATGAAAACGACGTTCAAATCTTAAAATGTTGTTCCATTGTTCTCGTGGTATGAGTGCGCCCACTTTACTTTCATCGATATTAGGTTTCTTGTCTCCACGCCGACTTTTTAACGGTCTCTGAACTGCAATTTAAAAATTTAAAAATCTCAATCAATATTTCGACCCTGGGCCATCATCAGGTTTGGCCAAAATATTGATTGGGATATTTTTTTAAATCGCAGTTGTGAGACCGTATTCATGTACATTTGTATGTGTATGTTTGATTGATCTTTAACATGAATTGGCTGCAGTGGAGCCTGTAGTAGTAGTATTGACATATCCGCAGCAAGCCGCTTATGTACAACGGCATGGGAGAGGATAGCAAAAATAAAAATATATTGTTTGGGAAATCCACGCTATTATCGAATATTCATTAATGACGGGTGTTGGGTTATACCAAATTCCCATAATGTGAAAGTACAATTATTGTTGAAAGCACTAGGTGATCTGCACTCTACAATGTGACCTGTGCGATTATATCGTGGAGCCTGTGCACTCTGAAAAAGGTTCAATGAAAAAAATATTTAAAAACCCCAAAGCAGATCAGTGCATCCGCAGGGTAATTTTAGCGACTATTAATTTTAGCGTTTTCCCATTGTCAACCGGTTCGCGACGTTTTATTTTAGCGATTTGCAGCGATTTTACTCACGGATCACCAGTGCACTACTAATGTCTCAACGGATTAGCAACTTGAAACTTAAGCGAAAATGAGTCGATCGCTAAATTCGCTAGGGTTTTTACGTCGCTAAAATTACCCGTCCTACAGTACATCTGTTCACATCATCGCGTAGCACATGGTCACATTCTCTGTCCTCAGCCACGGTCCTGTGAAAGGAAATACACTCTTAGTGTATTCAACGATATTAACAATAGGGGACAGTCATCGTGGTGCGTGCATGCTAAGCTGTGGAGCTGCGACCATTCACGTGAGGGCGTTCAGTACTCATAGTATTCATAATATTCTTGTTTAGTAATTAGTTGCTTGCCCAAAACTCTCTTCCATGATCAGCTACGTATTTACGTCAATTATCTGTACATGTATCATACTCGGCAGTTTTCAGGTTTTAGTTGTTGAAGTAAATAGTTCACAGTTCGTGTGTGTTTAGGACTGGTCACGTTGATATAAATTTTTCGTTGTTGCCTATTCTGCATTTGCATGCGTATTAGCACCTCATTGACCCCGCTCGTTCCTCATTCTTTATTCCATTTGGCCTAAGCGAAGACTAGCCAAGCTTGCTTGGCGATGTCAACGCGAAAAAGGCTGATGATGAGGAGTTACGTATTTACACGCTCGTAGACTGTATCTGTGCTGCATTATCGAGCCATGCAAAATGTTAGCAGCTTGTGATTGGACGAATACAGTTTCTCACCTGCTATTTTTTCTAAAACCCTGGGCACTGCGTGCTGCTTTGAGAATATTCTTGTAACTTCTCAGTGTTACACCTTGCCTAGTTTCTTGCGCCCATAATGTACCGTATAAATATCACTATAAACTTTGCTATGTCAATTACAATCTCCAGTATCACCTTCTCTGACGAGACTTTGATAGGCGAAACAGCTGTCAGAAGGAAATGTTTTACCCATGACCCCTTCGTAGTTTGAAATTATTGGTGTGAGAAATGGCTGCCGAGGGTAGCAATGGTCGGCTTTAGAGCGCATGGAGGACGAGAGTTACTGTAAAAGCCATATATATATAATGAAGTGCTAACTCTAACGAGTTAACAAGGAGAAATCTGTCGTTAAAATAGAAATCGTTATACTGAAATCAACACATACACGGTCCTATTGAGCGTTGAGAATAAGTGAGAATCGTTACCTTTGGTACACGTAAACCAGTCAATTTCGGGAAATCGTTATATATGCGCCTCGTTAGAATAATGGCTTTTACAGTAGTTCTAAGTTGTGATATTAACCCTTTTAAATATGTACTGAAAAAATGTACGCAGACTGAATTTGATCTCGACTCGCCTCAAATTCCATAATTCTCCGGGACATAACTTTCGTCTCCTTTTGACGATTTTTTCAATCTTGAGCTTCCTGGAAAGCTCGTCGCAAGAGGAACACATTGAGCCCACACTTGCCACCACGAAGGTCAAAACTCCAGCGCTACAACCCAGCGTCTTAGTTGCAACGCCAATATTCCGACAGAAGTCGTCTTGTATCAGCCATTTCGCTCTCCTTGCTTGTAACAACTAATTTTTACTTCCAAAAAATTCCGCCATCTGCCACGAGTCCGTTTGCCATTTTGAATGTGTTTCTACGTCACTCGATGCCCAGAAAGATGGGGAAATCCCTCATTCAAATCTGCGCACGCGGCTATTGAGCGACAATTGCCGCGATTTGACGTTCGAGCTTCGTAACTCTGGAACCGCACATCGGAGTGTTTCTGCAATTGTTTCAATGGACAGCTGGGAGTTTTCTCTTCGACCTACATAATTTTAGGTTTTGGAAATAACCCAGAAATGACTGAGTTACGATCGATTGAAAATTTGAAAAGTTTCGATCCCAGGGGATCGAAAGTTGTACAGTCCGTACACAAAGGGTTAACAATATCGAAGGTTTCTTGGCAATTTATGTATAGCCCTCCCAGGGTGAAACCGTTTTTTTTCTCTGGAAGGACTGAATATGCCTGGTGCGATGCAGATTACCTTTCTAGAGGCATACGGCACAATAATTATATAAATTGACCCAGCCCCCCCCCCCCTCCCCCGGCAAACATTTCCCGACCGGGTGCTTTTTCTGCCACGGAGGTCGGTGACCTGGCTCTGTCTGCACTCGTGCGTCGTAACCACAGTCATACTGATATCACACATGCAGCAATTACACATGCAGCAATTACATTGAAACAAAACTCGCCTGCTTGCACAGTATCTCACCATTCTGGCTTTTTTTCAGCTCCTCTTGAATGCAAGCAACTTCACCCTCCAGCGATTCTTTTGCCGCACGTACACTGCCCAGCTACACATGAAACAAAAATGGAGAAAAAAACCACACACGCGCACACACACACACACACACACACACACACACACACACACACACACAAAAGTGCCATCACGACACCGAGAACACTGTCAATGGTGTCCATAAGACCGGAGAATTGTCTTTCTTGCCTAGAGACCAAAGACGCATGCGCGGCCATGTTTTCATATCTGGATCCAGGGGCGAGCAGACTGCACATCACAGGTAACACGGAACAGAACGTGTTGGGATGTAATACCTTGCTCCTCTGCCAGATCTATAGAACAACAGCTTCTCCCAAGGCATGCACGGCTAGACTCAGAAGACTTCACAAGGCGTAAGTAGCAAGATATTTAAGCCACGCAGGTGAGTTTAGGGTAGTGCAAAAGCTAGCTGAAACAACACGAGGGCCAGTATCGCCACTGCTGAATTCAAAATACGCTTATATAAATCAATGACTAACTCTCGACCTCAGGGTTGCGCACCTCTGTTTCCGTCTCACGCAAAGCAGTAGATAGCGTCTCACTTTCCCGGTGACGGTGCTGCAGGTCAGATTCTTTGCCTGCAAGCAGCTTCTCCTGCTCCACAGCCAGTAAGTTGCGATTCTTGATCTGAAGGGAACAGGAGAGAGAGAGAAAGAGAGAGAGGGGGGGGGGGGGGGAGGGGGTTGTGATCAGCTTGGTGGCTACAACACTGCAGTAACAGCTGGAGTCTAAGGTTGCGTTTGGTTGGGCATTTTCAGAATGTAAATGACAACCATTCTCGAATGGGTATGGGTAAGAATCACCTGACCAAACAAACGCGCCAGAATCAACTAGGAATCACTTGGCATAACAATTCCATGTCGTTGTGGAACGGCGGCTCTCTTCTCTTTTACCCGACTCTAGTTTCCTTGAGCAGGGTTCTAGCCAGGTCAAAATAGTAGGGGGGGGGGGGGGCATGGGAAACAGTTACCCTATATCCCATTTTTCCACTTTCCAATATTGTCTTGCCACACCAAATGCAATGTATGGGGCGAATCCCTGACTTCACCCCAGACAAATGTACCTTTATGGACCATCTATGCATGAAAAACACGAAAATCGGAAAATGAATAGGGGGCGGCGCGCAAACAGAGTAGGGGGCGCTGCGCCCCCCTACCCCCCTTTGGCTGAACTTGATGCTACTTCGAAGTACATTGTTTGGCTCGTGGCACCCATTATCATTTTTGTTTCCGGAATGAGAATGCTCATTCTAGCATGTGAGGTGGAATGATCATTCTCCAAAAAGAATCATTCTGAGCGATTCCCCTTCTAGAATGGGACCAACCAAACGCACTTTTTTGACCAACCAATCGGGCGAGAATGATTCCAAGTGATTCCCATTTGGGAATGTGACCAACCAAAGAGTGCCCGGGCTGGAGTTGCTTACGAAATCAAAAGAGCATGCCGTGCAAGAATTGCCAAAAAATTGTGGGCGCTTCATGGAACTTGAACCAAACACGATGAAATAAATTAGTTACTGGCTCAGCAAGCAAAGCAGGAGCCACACAAACGGGTGTATGTGATTCTGAGAACATTTCGGCGGCACTGGTGGAAATCTGAACAAACATACGCGAGAGACCAAGCTTGTCTACTGTACCCTACCCGAACTCTGAGGATTCAGAGAATAATGTACATGCAACACTGACAGAAAACGAAATGCTATTCTCAGAGACTGGCTGAAAAAAGAGAGCACAGGATTGTACTTGTACCCAGTCGAACAGTGGAACAGCTGTTCCAGGCAGGACTGAAGCAGGCGGCCATCCAAGTTGGTGAAATCAAAACCAGTGCACTCCACCAGTAAATGAGGGGGGGGGAGGTTGGGTAGCCTACACAAACACTGGCAAGAAAAGCACCATACCTTGGTCTTACACTCTCTGAGTTCTTGATGCATACGCTTGATTATCTCGTTGCCCTACGCAAACAACACCGACATGCATGTACACGCAGACCCATGATTTCCATGATTTCCATGAGTTCCAACCAAACATGCAGCCGTTGTGTCGAGGTCACCATTAGCAACCCATGTGTCAGTACGACCAGCATAACACTTGTGTTGTGAAGGCCCTGTCTTGGTCCACAAAACAATGTCCTGTAATATTACCCACTGTTCTAAGTACTTGCGGACTCCATTGCAGCCATTTGCACATTTACACTCATACCTCGGTTATCCGGACACCGAAGTTACGACGGGCACTTCGGTCTACCGGGCACCCTTTGGGCGAGTTTTAGTGGAAATATTGATGTCGTATGCCATGTCTCCGGCCTTTCTCCATCAAAACGCATGCGTTTCAGAGTTACGGGCATTTCAGAGTTACGGGCAGTGCCCGGCCCCGGACCGCCCGGCCCCGGACCGCCCGGATAAGCGAGATAGGAGTGTATTATATAGGGTACTGTAGAGGCAGAAAATTTCGTCGGTCAATAATTTCGTCCAACTCCAAAGAATAGGAGTTCGCCCGGCTGTAAATTTCGTCCATGGATTATAAAAGCATTATAGAAAAGTTGGGCAAATCGACATTAGTCCTACATTTAATTTAGTCCAAAAGCTCCTTGGACGAAAAAGACGAAATTAAATTCCAGACGAATATTTCTGCTTGTACAGTACCTCAACTCAAACTCTCAACACGGTCTCTTTGTTGCACAAGTCACTTGAAATGTTGTGTTGAGTTGAGTTGAGCGGCCCTAACACCATCTACTAAGTACAGTGCTGCTCAGTGAAATGCGGTCGCGTCGTCACTCAAGTTCGCGCCGGGCGTTGCACAGCCCTAGACCTGCGAACACTGGGCTGCGAAATGGTGCAAGACGCACACTCGAGTGACGCTGTGACTGGATTTCATTGAGCAGGACTGTAGATGTGTAGTGGCCTGACGCTTACGTCACTCACTCATCACATATCAAGCATACGCAAGAACTAAATCTTTCTCTGTGGCCTCTTTGGCCTCAGCTTCTTTGTTGTCTGGCTGGCCAAAGCAGCCGTCGTCCAGGGCCGAAGTAAAACCCTAAACAATAACATGTGCTAAAAGACCTACCTTGGCCACTTCAGCAGTGAGTGATTCAACTTTCTCCTCCAGATGAGCACAGAGGCCCTGCTGACCGGTCAGTGCTCCGATGGCGCTGTCCTGCAGCAGGGAGAATGCACACACGTGCGCAGGCAAACACAGGACAGAACAAGGACGAATGTGACTGCTCGCCCATGTACCAGTACGTCACTGCTAGTACACATACCACAGGGAAGACCAAACACCGCAGTCCAGCCACGCTCACCCGCAATACGGGAGCACGCTGAACAGCCGTTGTCTGGTTTAACTACAGTCGCAAACGACCATTGTGACAAGTGAAACCCGACCCCTGGCTTCCCGGTTCCCAAACATAAACAGGTACATTACGTCATTGTCTACCTCGTTCCCAAACACGAACAGATACATTACATCATTGTCTTCCTGGTTCCTAAACATGAACAGATACATTGCATCATTGTCTTCCTGGTTCCTAAACATGAACAGATGCATTACATCATTGTCTTCCCTTCCCAAACATGAACAGGTCACAGGTGCATGTACATTAGGCCACACGTTTTTATATCTATGTTTCTCGTCACCCGCGCGCATACGATTCAGGAGTCTGGAGGAAAAAAAGAAAAAATGTGCTGCACTGCACTGACTGTGCATACTCATGCACATGTACATAATGTGGCCTGGCCTGCGCGACACATGATGCGAGGTCACCAATTATTGTGCGCAATCTAGCTGCACATGCACAGATTGTGACAGAAGCTCCTACCACATACTAGTTGCTAACTATGGATGCTATTTTGCATGGGGTATTGGTGGATTTTAGTGTGAACAAAGGTCTGATAAACTTTTTTTATTTTTCGGTCATTTTTTATTTTTTTCCACCTCTCGCATATGTTTTTAGATTTTCAGGTGACGAGAAACATAGAAATAAAAACGTGTGGCCTTACGTCACTGGGTACACAACTGCACAACAACTGCATGGCTCCATGTACACATGTCTCACTCCTTTCCGGATTGAAATGCATGTGCAAGCATGGTGAACATCACGCACCCGACTGCTTGCGTTGAACAGCAAGAAGTCAGGGGGGGGGGCTGGATATCACTTGCCGCCACTGAAGATAACGGCTGCGCCTGCTGACCACTGTACTGCATGTATGCTAACTTTAGCCAGTGCAGGCTATTTTTTATTTTCAAGGAAACCCTTCGAAAATGGTACCAATCGATTCAGCATGGCATTTTCATTCCTCCTGCAAAATTGCAGCTGATTTGGAGTCATGACAAGGATGCTATGGCGATTTGAAGATCGAAAAACTTCACTTTTGTTTGTCAAGAAGAAAGACCATGATCGCACACAAATCATACAACCCGTGTGGCACAATGATTTTTGAACGAAGTTGATCCGCGGACCCCGTGCTTCGCGCATGCACGCATGCATACTGCACAGTACAGAGGCTTTTTTGAACGCAGATATGTAGTTCTTCGTCTTCTTCGAAATGTCTTCCAAATGCGCGGTGCTGGTGTTGTTCTCAGCTTCGTCAAGGCAGAATGCAGCTGCATGTGATGCTCCGGTGTGTTCATGCATGTTCTCTTTTCGCGTCTCGACATTGTAGCGTCCAGACTCAGCTCGACTGGAGAAGATTGAGGAGACTATGCTTTGATCCACATGGAAAATCGATGAAATTTGGTAATTATCGTCGGGCGCTAAAAAGCGCTGGGGAGCATGGGGCTAAAACTTCGTAGCAGTCATCCCTACCATGACAGGCATCGACTGGTATATGTTCCATTCTGTTCCCAACCACTACGGGTCGTCTGCGAAGCTTTCTTCTTCGCCGATTCTCGGACAGATCGTACGTCTTCGCACTGTATCTCTCGTCTCCCTCAACGGATCAAAACACGGTTTTCGCCAGGACGAACACAAACCCCCAGATTTCGCGGCGGCAACATCTTCGAGTAGGGAAAAGCTTGCAGCTAACCAGGAATCACCAAAAAACAAGTGTAATACTCAGTGTGATTTGCGACAGCTGTCATTGTGCCGTCGCACCATGCATGTACCATGCACGGGAATGGAACACGGATGAGTCGTTTTATTACGACAGCCTGCACTGGCTACTAACTTAGACTAGGTCACTGCTGTCACTAGGTCTGGTAGCACTAGGTCACTGCTGTCACTACTGTCACCAGGGAGTAGTACAACACTGTATTGTACTACTCCCTGACTGTCACTAGGTCTGGTAGCACTAGGTCAGTACTAACTATTAGGTCACCGCCAAAAATGCATCTACAACGCTACTGAAGCTTGGCCACGGCTGGCGATCGTGACCCCGTCTTGTGAACGATCACAGTCACAGAAGCACTGTAAATTAAAGTTTTAAAGTTCACACACCATGGTGACCTGTACACTTGTGTGCAGCAGTGAGTTGAGGTGACACTAACCTTTTGATCGGCAGTCTTTTCCAACAGCTCGCTTGTTTTCCTCACCACCTGCGGAGAGAACGAGAAAGAGTGAGAGCGAGTGTGTGTGTGTGTGTGTGTGTGTGTGTGTGTGTGTGTGTGTGTGTGTGTGTGTGTGTGTGAGAGTGAGTGAGAGGGCGGGAAAGAGATAGAGGGAGAAAGTCCGGGAAAGAGATAGAGTGAGAGAGGAGAGAAATACCTACAAAACGAGCTCGTGCGCATAACTGTGCATTACATTTCACGTTGTCGGGGCAAGGCACAACAGACCAGCTGGTCAAACAAAGTCAGAAGCAAAAGAATTTGTTTGATCCAATCACACTGCGCACAACCACTTTGGCGTTGTGCTATCAAACCACTATGATACAATTTGCCAATCAAAATTGAGGACTATGGTGTCACAATGTAGTTCCTTCTCCTAGTGTTGCACTGTCAAAATACTATACAATGTCCATTTCATTCTTGGTTTGAAAAGTGTAGTTTGAAATAGTTTCAAAAGGAGATAGCAAACAACACGCCAGGCAAAACACAAGGGAGGAATATTATTAAAAATGGAAGCTCTTGCTCACCGTCTCGTTCTCTCGTAGTTGCTGCTCAAGTGTGGCAACACGCTCCTCAAGCGTGCCGATCTTCACCGACTTCTCACGTATGTCACTCTCCAAGTGTTCCTTCGATGACTTGATGCCATCGAGCGAAGAAGAGGCGGACTGCCGTTGCTAGATACGGAACAAAGAATTCATTTGCAACAAAAGTAAATGTGTTACACTGCCAGCTTTCTCTATAACCTGATGTAATTAAATTGACAGGAGCACACGCAGGAAGCTGAATGTAAAGGCATCATCGGCTGATTAGAGGTAGAGTATGCAGGTCATTGTCAATTACTTCTTGGCTGACGGCCAACTCCTGCCTCGCCTGGCGCAGTCTATCCAGTGCGTCCGTCTTCTCGCTGGTGATACGCTAAGGAGAGGTAAATTGATAGTAACACACACACACACACACACAGCCACAGACATACCGCGACTTGGAAATGCGCAATCACACTGCCATCAACAAAACGGTGCTCCCATCGAATTCGTCGGCCAAAGACGTGGGAAAGCTCCACCTGGACTACATGTTCGCTGAACTACCGTAGTTCAACGGTCACCGTTATAAGTTGACCCCCAATACTTGGAGCTTCGATTTACCGGTTCAATATCAGCATGATCAATAGCGGTTGAACCCCAGCTGTAAGTCGACTACCCCCTTTTTTAAATCGGTTTTAGGTCATAAATGTTGGGCTTACGACGGGAAAAGTACGGTATTCACCAAAGTAGCTGGCCACGGGACACACAAAGCACCAGGGCAGGCAGCACTGCCTCTTACCTGTAAAGATTCGGAGAGTAGCTCAGCTTGCTTTTCCAGCCGTCTGACCTACAAAACACAAACAATAACAAGACGAATAAAACTCGAATGGAGAGCCAATGATGAAACCTAAGAAGAAAGGATAAAAGGCTTACAAGTTACCCATCGTTGTCCAACACTGGCAACTATAAGCATAAGTTATAAGTAACAAGATGGTGTTCAGTGCGACAGATTCACAACATGCATATCAGCTATGTTATCATATGGAACAGGAAGAAAGGCATGACAAAGGTTAAAGGGCTCCTTTTCGACAACGAATGCACAAAATATTGCCCAAACCAGGCACTTGTAAGCACAACAACTATCCCGTTCCATTTCCCTAACCGTGTCACTGTGAGTTTCCTGGGAGGACATCTGCGCTTGTTCAAGCTTCTCCTCCGCAGCAGATAGCGCCTGAGCAATGGCATAGAGCATAACATGTGCCGCATGTAGATACTAAGTAGTAGGGTAGACAGACTGTCAGGATGGCAAGAAAAGACAATCGACATAATATATCTTGCTACTCCGTTACCATTTTTTGCAGTGTGCATGAATCACTGGGCAGATACAACACTGTTTAGCGAGGCCAAAGGCACTGGCTATGTGCGCATTATGCACTGAACATAGAGCAGTCGCATGTACATGTATGGTCACTGAACACATAGCAGTCACATGTACATGTATGGTCACTGAACACAGAGCAGTCACATGTATATGCATGGTCACTGAACACAGAGCAGTCACATGTATAGTAGTATGCATGAACATTGAGCCCATGTCTCATTGTAGTAGAGAACAAACATGACAAAACAAACAACAAACACAATACCCAACCAACTTCCAAGCGAAACAGCCCCTAGTACCAGAGCAAAAGTAGCTGGACCAGCATTAGATATGCTGCATAGCATCACTTAGAATCAGTAACGGTACCTTTCTGGATTCCTCTTTCAGACGGTTTACCTCCGCACCATGTGCGTTCACGAGCTGAGTGACTTCAGCAGAGGACTCGGCACGGACACTTGCCAATTGGCGTGTGCGCTCATCGAGAAGCTGAACAGGCAGCAAGATGAAGCAAAAAACAAAACAAAAAACAAAAACAGCACTATCAATGGCAATGTGTAGTGTAGCTTGTCACTACTGTCGCATAGCACTGATTATCTAGACAACCAGATGACTAAAGTTATTGTTGCCGGTGCTAAATTAAAGTGCTACAGATCTAAGCTAACTGCACAGGCTGGTATCTGTATGAGTAAGGGATGTTGGGTAATGCGCTTCGGGTAGCACACGCACCCAATTGCGTGCCAATATTGCCAAAATATCATGAGCACGGTAGATCGGCTGTTAAACAGAATGAAGTGTCCTGCCAGGTACTACCCAACCGGGATCAACTGGTACCCGGCTATCCAATAGCAGCATCACTAAGAAACCGCATCAACTAAGCCCCCATGCCGTGGCAACAAGCACACATTGCAATGCACCTCACCTGCTGTGCTCGGCTCAAGTCTGTCTGAGTTGCAGTGAACCTGTCCTGCACCAACGCCTTCTCTTCCTGGCCATTCGACAAGAGGAGAAAGACAAAGACAAAGACAAAGACAGACAGACAGAGAGAGAGAGAGAGAGAGAGAGAGAGAGAGAGACAGAAAAAAGAGAGAGAGAAGAAAAGTGTGGAATATGAACAGCTTGTTTTTCCACAAGAGTCAATGATCAGATCACACAAGATCGATCAGCTCAAGCATTTTCATGTAGAGCGCAAGATGCTTCTTCGACGTATCGTCGTCTTGGAAGAAAATTTGAGAGACAAGAGCGAAGTCATCAGACTAGGTATGCTCACCTTGAGCGTCTTGACGCATTGTGCCAGATGCTTCTTCAGCGCAGCGTCGCTTCCGGCAACGAGTTTGAGAGACAGGTGCGTCAGGTGCTTGAACGGATTCGTCTCGATCATTTCAAGCTGTGCTGCTGAGCCACTGCCACAGACAAGGTGCAGCAAGAACCTGCACGTACAGCACACAGAGAAGACACAAATAATCGGAATGACGTAGGGTAAGCCTTGTATTACAATCCCTTCCGAGGAGCCAGACTATGGCTTGGACTTGGAGAAGTCTTGTTCCCTTATTTGAGTTTATAGTACACATAGCAAGAGAGAAAGATGTACCCGAGCAAACACCTGCTCATCCAGCGGCGCACATACTGCAATTATGCTTACACATGATTACTAGCACATACTCTTCAGTGCTAATCGATTTGACACAGAGGTCAAGCAACGGTAGCTAAAGCTAAACATACTTGGGATCGTCGCTGGAGCTTTCACGAAGACAATTCTCCAGGAGATTGACGACATTGTGCGGAAACGAGGAGAAGTCAACCCGGAGACCTTGCTGGGTTTTCAGCCTGTCAGAAGAAACAGAAATGGCAAAATACAAAGCAAATGTGCTAAGTGATGGATTTAGTCAGCGCGGAGTTAAATCGCACAGACACACACACATGCCGGCACGCACACCAACTGTGACATGCACGCATGCACAGACACACACTCACACACGCGCACACACACACACACGCGCACACACACACACACGCACACACACACACACACACACACACACACACGGGCACCCGTTTAAACTCCACGCTGATTCTGGCGCAGGGATGGCGTGTTCAGATATGGGAGGTCCGAATAAGAAAGGCTCTACTGCTTACAGACTAGTGCTTGGGTGGAAATTACGTGACCGTGAGTTCAGAGACGCTCACCCAGCAATATTTGCATGCAATTGCGCAAATAACTTTTGACAGATGTGTGCGATCGAGCTCAACTTTTCAAAGATTCTACATCTGCTCACATTCTTCCAACCCATATAATTATCATTTGATGTAATTTTCCAGAATTTGTATCTCTGATGATTGCAGGGACAGGGGTTTAAACATGGGGTAATATCTAGCAGCTGCATCTAGTCCCCTGAAAATAGGCTAAAATGATTTTCAGCCGTAAAAAAAATGGGCCCCAAAACTGAAAAAGGAGGTGCCAATAATACCAAGAGTCCATAAACAAGAGTAGGAAACTGTGGTCTCTTTTCTATGGGCCAGATGCGCGGCGTGCTGCCTTTATTACATCATTCAGCTGCAGTCTGCGCACTGCGGAAAATCAAATACTACACTTTCCCTCTGGTTTGAAATGAACTTTCGTACGGAACTGGAATTCACAGCCAAAATTTAGAGATTGCATAGGTACTGGAACGAATCGAGCATAAACGGATGGGCTTGTACGAGAAATCGTGGGTTTGAGTGCGTGCTGTCAGAGATTGATGGAGGCAAATTAGAAATTACGTAATGAAGGCAGCACGCCACGCACTCACCCATAACCACGGTTTCATACTCTTGCTTATGCACTCTTGAAAATACCCCATTCGGGGCAGGGGTATGTCCCTATATTACAAGAACCGGTTTCATAGATACTATCCTGTGCACCTCACCCGTGAAAGTCATCTTCTGATATTGATACATAATAGAAGAAGTACGGCTCTTCATCATCAGTAAGTAGCACGGTCAGGTCCTTGTCGTCATGCACACGAAAAAGAGAGCAAACAGCAGACGTTTTATCGGAGACAAAAGAGCAATCAGACTAAATAGTAGAACAAGCCTCCCCTCACAAGCAACATTCTGACGTTTCACATGCACTTTCATTGCCTTCTCTTCAGGCGGATATCCCGGATACAGGCAGAAGAAGAAACTAACCAGCACACTAATCTTTAAAACAACGTATACATGTACATGTGATACAAGCAGCAGTAATTTTTTTATTTGACTGGCGAGAACGTACACAGAAAAAAAGGAGTAAAGTGTTGATTTTTTTTGGTTAGCGTTTGAAAATCTTTATTTTACACATGCATTTTCCTGATTCCTTCTCCAGTGTTGTATTGCACGTTAATCCACTGTGTTAGTTTTTGCCCGTAGAAGAGGCCTGAGGTGGTAAAGTGCTGATCCCCACTCACATAGAAACAGAGCAAATCCTAGTTGCGCACTAGTGGTGAATGTGTGAAGAGGTGTGATATGTATTGTGACAACAACAACAGACGACAACTGAACCGAACTAACAATGCGTGGATGTCCTTCTAACAGCCTGAGCTGGAATGTGTGTGATGTATCCTGTTGATCAGGCTAAAACAGTGGCCCTCAATTCTTCTGCCTTGCAAGCTGTTGGATGGTGCAATCCCAGCACATCGTTGCTATGGATTCTGGTGTAGTATTATTATCTATCATCATCATCTCCTGCAATGGGCAACTAAGGTCTAAAGCTAAGGGTTTGTGTTTACGTGTGTGTGTGTGTGTATGTGTGTGTTCAAGTAAGTTCTGCTGTGCGTGTGGCGAGAGATTTCGGAGGCAGCAGGATCTGCAGCGGCATGAGACTGGATGTTCTGCAGCTTAGCCGTGATGCTACCACTTTGTTCCCTCCTCATGAGAGCAGCTTAGCCGTTTCACAGCAGCTGTATGTCAAGGTCAAGGTGTGTGTGTGTGTGTGTGCACGAGTGTGTTTGTGTGTGTGCACGAGTGTGTTTGTGTGTGTGTGTTTGTGTGTGTGTGACTGTGTGTGTGTGTGTGTGTGTGTGTGTGTGTGTGTGTGTGTGTGTGTGTGTGTGTGTGTGTGTGTGTGTGTGTGTGATAGCAACAAACATAGCTGTTCGCTATCATCGCTTCCGCGATGGGCATGTCTGAGGTCTGAGGTGTGTGATAGTGGGTACGTGTGCGTTTCACGATGTGTGACAGTGACTGAGTGTGTATGTGTGCGTGTGTGCTGCACACAACTGTAGGTTTGGTACATATCATGCAATATAACAATTATGCAGCCACAGTGTGTTAAACTGTAAGAGACTATTTCATCTCTACCTTTCTATGAGTGGTACTGGATGAACCTCCCAGGCTGACTTTCACGCGAACCAGACAGCGTCTGAACAATACACACCAATTTGTATCATGTTGATCAGAAGGACTGGGCGAGTTTTTGTGATCTGGATCAAGATCAACTCAAGTACGACTCGTACCTCTCATCTCTCTCTGCTGTCTGCAACCGCAGTGGAACAACTTTGTTGAAGTAATCCTCAGACATCAGAACAATTTGAGAACGGAAGAGGAATATTTTATGGACCTAGCTATAATAATGATTCTAAGCTATCCACGGCTCAGAAACTACAAAATTCTGTTACGAAAGAAGATCAATCACATAACAGAAACAGAACTCGAACAAACAATCATCAGCTTTTCGACTTCGGACAACCAGAGCGTGAAGTCAAAATTTCCCGCGTTATCAGGCTAGATGACGTAAGGCGAAAACTAACGACTTTTTTTTAACTTTACGTACGTACGTCTTGCATTCTTTTTGTTCAAATCGCGAGAAAAAGTGAAAAACGCGTGTCGGACACGTGGTCACTGCAATCGTGCTGTGTTCAGTGGTAAATGAGCATGCTTACTGTTGTCTAGCCCAAGCATGTGCGAAGATCATCATGTCAGGCATGCATGCAGTTTATTTTGTGTTGCAAGTTTCAGAGAAATCGATGCGGCAAATCAAACAAAGAAGTCGGTAGTGTCAGAAACAGCAGTTCATCATAATTATAATAGTCCGAGTGATCTTGGCGAAGAACAGTTGTGGACAATGGCTGAAGCTACACCACCTGAGGCTGCAGCACCCGCTGCCCCTGCTGCTGAAGCAGAGGAACAGGTCGTGAACCCATGGGAAGTCAAAACTGGTAGCAATCAAGGAATTGATTACGATAAACTTATCAGTGAGTGAGCAATCAGCGGTGCAGATGTGCTTCTTCTCGATTTCGGCTTTCCAATGAGTTGAGAGAGCTAAGACATGCCTGTATTGGTTATTTGCGACATGCAGGACAGTTTGGCTCATCTAAGGTGTCTCCTGAACTACTAGAGCGATTCGAGAGATTGACAGGCAAGCCGCCCCATCGTTTTCTAAGACGTGGTGTCTTTTTCTCTCATAGGTATGACTGTAGATCATTTGAACATTCACGTTTGACGTCACAGGCATACTATTTGTTCTGTAACGTGCAGAAGTTATTTCCCTGCAACATTCGCTGTGTGCCCTTGATAATTTGTTCACTGCTCCTAATTTCCGGCAAAATTTATTTACATGAATTACAAACATTTCAAATTCCAAGACCTGTACACGATGAGAGATTTATAGCCATAGCGCTGAGAAGTACACTTGCAGCAAGTGAAGTCCAACCTCATGCATAAAACAGAGTCTGCCCACTACACAGTCCAGTGTTCACAGTGGCAGGGGTATGCTACTATAGTACTATGCAGCCTCGGTCCTGTTGTGTATTCGTGGGGTTGGACTTCGCATATCGCAGCTGCATTTCGTGATAGAGATCTTTCGCACCCAATAGCAAATGCTGTATGAGATGGAAGTCCACCTCAGAAAATCAGGCTCTTACAATTGTCCAACACAAGTAGCAAACTAATAATTCGTTTCATTCTCTTACGAAGGATGCCGAAGGTGATGGATGTGTAAATAAGTAATTGACATGAGAATCGTGGACACGCTTCTAACGTACACTCTCGCCGTAAATGAATACAAACTTCATATTTTCCGAATCAGGAAAGTGTGAGCACACTTGGCGGGGTGGATATGTGAAATTTTCGGCTCTGTATTTGACCATGATTTCAAGTTTCATGTAGCCTGACATCACATGTACCATAAATCATGGGTACCCCACTAAAACCAGCCGAAATGCCGAAAATCACTAGAACTAGAGACACGGAGTACGTCATGACGTACTCAACAATGCAATGTCATGTTCATGCTGAATGTGGTCTGTACTATTTGCGCTGCTTGTGTTGTTTAGGGACCTGTCCAGTATCCTAGATGCCTATGAAAAGAAGGAACCCTTCTACCTGTACACTGGACGTGGTCCGTCTTCGCAGTCCATGCATCTTGGACACTTGATTCCATTCATCTTTACTAAGTAAGCACTCCATGGATGGGCCTTGCTGAGCATTTTGGCAGGAATGTTTTTGGTCGGATAGAAATGTTATTTGTTTGTGATTTGCAGTCTTTGTTCAGCTTGTGTGTCCATGGAAACAGCGGAATTCCGGGGCTCTCAGCCACTTTTAACCGTTTTGGAAACGCTGAATGGCTTGTGCTGAGTGCATTCAGCCGTTGTCAAAGGCTACAAATGCCACATCGTGTACTGCTGGGGTCTGTGAGAGCCAATGATGAACGATACAATCGTTTCTATTGTTAAACAAATCGGTCGTACAGTTCGGGCCCGCTTGCTAATAGTCACCATCATAACCATGACGTGAGGTCTTTGAACAGAGTCAACTGCAGCCTGTTGCCCCATTCTATGCTTACATTCCACATCCTCACATCCATGCCTCTTTTTCAAGTGTTTGTCTTACTCCCCTCTGCCGTCATGCATAGATATCTTCAGGACGCCTTCAATGTACCGCTGGTCGTCCAGCTGACAGATGATGAGAAGTTCTTGTGGAAAAACCTGACGGCCGAAGAGTGCCACGACTTGGCGTACAAGAATGCCAAGGACATTATTGCGTGTGGTTTCGATGTCGACAAGACCTTCATTTTCTCAGACTTTGACTATATGGGGTAAGGTGACAGTGGTAGCACTGAAAATTCTTACTTCAGTATCTCCTTTCGGACCATTGAGAGTGTGATTTTTAGGTGATGCATAATGAAAATTGTTTCGGGCCAGAGAGTTTTTATGCACCGAAACAAAAAAATTATTCGTGCACCACCTTCTGATTCCGGCGCAACACCCATAAGTTGCCTTTGTTGATCTGAGTACTTCTTATATTTTTGCTAGACTAATTTTTACATTTAGACCTGTTCTTGTAAGGTGTTGTTATGTGTTGTTCAATGTAGCGTGTTCGTGTTTGATATACTTCAAAGTAATGTTATTATTATTAGCTTTTTCGCGTTGACATCACCCAGCAAGCTTGGCTAGCCTTCGCACAAGCCAAATGGACGAAAGATGTGTTTGTTTTGTTTGCGTTCGTATCGTCATTGTGCTGTGCCCTGTACTTGGTTGTGCTCTCTTGTCTGCAGATCGTGCCCGGACTTCTACAGAAATGTTGTCAAGGTGCAGAAATGTGTCACACTGAATCAGGCCAGGGCCATCTTCGGTTTCGCTGACACCGATTGCATAGGTATGTCATCGTATGTGGGTGCAGTCAAACGTCCGCACTTGTATGGTGGTTGAAAGCTAGTATGACGATGAATCGGGGAGCCTTGCCTCTGGCCAACTGGGACGTCTGTTGAACTCTTTAGTACGCACATGCATTTGATATTTGCAACTGACTTTTGCGTGGGCACAGCTACCGATGAACGACAATCAAGTGCTGTTGCCATGTTTACAGCCTGTGTGCACAACCAGTGATGGTCAATACTGTTTTGTTCTTTGCTCTTTGTTTGTTTAGGAAAGGTTTCTTTCCCCGCCATTCAGGCGGTACCCGCGTTTTCCACATCGTTCCCAGATATTTTCGGTCGCGAAAAGAACGTGAAGAAAGTGAAATGCCTTATTCCTTGTGCAATTGATCAGGTATGTAGTAGCAACACTGTGGGCACTAAAACTATGGAGTAACTGGATAGAGTAGTTGTCAGTTGAGATGCCAACTCTTTTGCTTTTTTGCGTGTCTAGAAACCTCTGTGCTCTTAGAGCACATTGGTGAATGTGATGATGACGGGGGGGGGGGGGGCAGCTACAATGTATGTTTTGTTCTTGTTTTCTTTTTATAACCAATACCTATCTTTTTCTTTTGCAGGATCCCTATTTTAGAATGACACGTGATGTTGCACATCGCCTCGGTCACTGCAAGCCAGCCTTGATCCACTCCACGTTCTTCCCCGCCCTGCAAGGCTCGCAGACGAAAATGAGCGCCAGTGATGGCAACTCGTCTATTTTCCTCACCGACACGGCCAAGCAGATCCAGAAGAAGGTTGGTGTGTGTGGATAAGCGTGAATAGGTGTGGATGGATGTGTGCTTCAGCAGGCAATGCCTGTGTGGTTTATTCAGCATGTGCAAGATGCCAGTAGTTCTGCAAGGGGGTGGGGGGACAAGGACAGTATGCTTAGGCCATCATTTTTTATATCTATGTTTCGCGTCGTCCGCACGCATACGTTTTGATTTTTTCCGGAAAAAAATAAAATAATCGAACATGCACAGTGAGTGTACGATCGTGCGAGTCATCAGTGTGGACTGGTTGCATACGGCGAAGCTGGGATTCAGAATTGGCCTCGAGGCCAGCGTTGGTAGATCGTTTGTTCTGCATCTGCAAGCAGAATTCTTTGAGCTTACACCAGACCGCATCGATCGCCTCAAGCTGAGAGGATGCGTCGTTTCGGAGCTCTTTGCACCGCTGCTGAAGGCTGAGTACAATAATCCAGCGAAGCATGGGCACCAACGGTTGCCTCCTCTGTCCAAAGTGAATCATGACTCTAATTTCAGAAATTTTCGGTGCTCAATATTTTCGGTATGAAAGCAAAAGGCTTGGTTAGGTGAACAGAAATTTTCGGTACAGAGAAGCAGTTCCCTATTGGATTATGTGTGTTAGTGTTTGTTCGGTGTATTGAAATTTTAGGTATGAAACAGATGCACCGAAAGTACCGAAAATAAAAGTACACCGAAAATTTGTGAAATTACAGTATTTCCTCTTGCTGATAACCCAGATTTTGTGCTTCGATGTACGATTTTTCTTTCGAATGTACACCATGGCATGCACGAGCTATTGACAATAAGTAGTCAATAGGCTATGTGGTATGTACAGTTCTATTCACCTCTGATGATCCTTTTTATTATTTTGCAACTTTTTATTTCTTTCCACCTCTCGCATACGATTCTGGAAGTTGACCTGACGCGAAACATAGATATAAAAAATGATGGCCTTAGGCCCTCATCATGGTAGCAGAGTGTCTGTGGCCAGCGGACGCAGTCGTGGTGTAATGTTGGCTTTGTAAGGCATGCAGCTCATCGTGTTCCATGTCCGTTTTCCCCTGGTGCCCAGGTCAACAAAGAAGCGTTCTCTGGTGGCCGTGTGTCGGTGGAGGAGCATCGCAAGTACGGCGGTGACACCACTGTGGATGTGGCGTACAAGTACCTGACGTTCTTCTTGGATGATGACGCCAAGCTGCAGCAAATCAAGGAGGTAGGTTGCGCAATTCTAGACAGCATACATAATGTGCATAAGCTGCTAGGCTCGTGTGATCGCATGTGTATCGTGTATACTGGCCTATGTACATGTGTGTGTGTGTGGGGGGGGGGGGTGTCTGGGAGGAGGCACTACATGTACTACTACCGTATTTTTCCGGTTGTAAGTCGACCTTCTACGACTAAAAATAGAAGGAGAAAGGGTGGGGGTCGACTTACAACCGGAATTCGACTTATAACCGGGAACTATCAGAATCTTACAAAAAATGACCTGCCCTGCATGCATGAGTGCACCATGTGTACACATGTTTGCCAGTTTATTGGCCTTTTTCAAGGATTGGGACTTTATACCCTCCAACAAGGAATGTTTACATGATTTGTTGATGTGTTAGTAGCAGGGCGTGGTTGGTAGTGCTTCGTTGGGTGAAAACTTTAAAACGCAGAATTGAGACCTCCGGATACGGGGGTCGACCTATAACCGGGGTCGACTTACAACCGGTAAAATACGGTAGTAGATGTGACCAGGAGTGACGTTGTACATGAGCCTAGCACTGGTACTGTGGTACATGTGGCAGATGACAGATGACCAGAAGCCAGTGGTGTGTGAAGCTGCTGTTGCAAGTCATGTGCCTGGTAGTGATAATTTCACAAAACTTCATGTTTCCGCTTTGGGCGTTGACATTGTGTGAGTGTACAATCCGCTAGAGGACAGAAACTAGCTCTGGCCTGACGAGGAATCGAAAACAAAACTCAGGCTTCAAATGCCCTCTTTCTCGATTCTTATCCGCAACGCACATGCATTTGCATTTGCTTTCGCATGTAGCATCATCCACTTATTTCTGTATGAAATTTGTGTTTTTCCATTGTGTCTGCTGTGCGTGTAAATCGTGATCATACTAGGACTACGAGGCAGGTCGTATGCTGACTGGCGAGCTGAAGAAGGAGCTGATTGGTGTTCTGCAAGCCATGGTCGCCGAGCATCAGGAGCGCCGCGCAACCGTAACCGACGAGCTGCTAAAGCAGTTCATGACCCCGCGTCCGCTGTGCCGTGCAGCATGATGCAGATCAGCCGGATACACTCCCAAGACAATTCTGACAATTCTGAGGCATATACGATTCATACCAACCTAGTGACGGACCATGTTCTCATAAAATACCACCGCATGTTCATCTATATTACCGCTCGTCTGGCAATTGCTTTCTCCAGCCAGTGAGTATCATACAGAAGGCATTTGCTACATGTACATATCAGGCAGCTTTAGTTCTGATTTCCGAAGCAACGCTGCCCTTCGGATTATTTAAGAATACTTTGACTTGCACGCGACCTTCGACTGTGTCAGAAAGGTTTTATAATTTTTTTTCTGATTTCTCGCAGTCCTCTGCTGTTTGTCGCATACGCAAATTTAGGCAATCATTGGTATCCAATACTTTATCAGGTTCTGTTACATTGACATGCACGGAGCAGTGACGATTGTACAGATGAATAACGGAGGTGTACACACAGTACGCTGCTAGTGTAATGTGTATTGTATAGCGTAAACAGGGCTCAGACTCAAGAACACATGTACAGCATATCTACATGTATTGTGGGCTTGTTCAAGTATCAGGGAAGGTGCGATAACACAAACGCAAATGCACTGCTGTTACATAACTTCTCCATACAAAAGATACAAGCCCACCAAGCTAGCCTACGAGCTGGTCTTGTACTCGTAGCGGTGCATAGCCAGCCAGATGGACGCGAAGCGCATTACGTTGGCGGCTTTATCGCTGACATTGCGGCCATGCGCTTTTTCTGCGGGTCAGTGGAAGATGAACCTGTTGGAAACAAGGCAATGCACAAAAGGCTAAATTCAGGAGTAATTTTTGCACAATGTGTGACACTAAAGATACCTTCACAATTAAATATTGCGGCAGAGTTTCGACCATACTCCAATTTATCACATGTCACTTGAGTGTTTCCTTGGATCGGGCCAATCACCGATCTGTGTGAGCGGGCAATAAATCAGTCCAAAGCTCGTCGTCCGTGACAACCCTGACAGTGACACTGGACGCGTGAAATCTCCGGGATTTGAAGACGGTGACTGCGTACAGTGCAGTACACATGTGAACGTGTGTTTGAAAGTGGCGATCTCAGCTTTTCTTTTTCTTTCCTTTCTTTCCTTTCAAGTGTTGCTGCACACGAGGTCGACTTTCTCCTTTAGTTTCGATTCTTTCAGGTCTTCAGTAATGTTAGGCTGAAAGTGATAAATCCATTATGGCATGGTTGGTCGGGCAATAATGGATTTCCAGTGCCCTCCAAGTGAGCCCTCGCGCCTACGGCCCTCGGGCTCACTTGTCGGGCACTGAAAATCCATTATTGCCCTCCCAACCAGGGAGTCGTAAAATACCGGTATTTTACGACTCCCTGCTCCCAACCATGCCATAGTATACACTTGCTGCATTCCCAACTCGTCACCACCACGCGCTCGAGCGCTCTCAGCCAAACCAAGAGTACATAAGAGTACTCTTGGCCGAACTAATGCACGAAGCATAAAGACATCAGCACAGCAAGGACACTTCCGTTGACCGATAATGTTCACACCTCTACTCGTAGACAGCTGCTTCGCTCCTTCGAGCTCATCAGTAGAAGATAATGATGATGATAATGGAGTGTAAAGGAATGAGCCACCACCCGTGGCCAAGTCTCTGCTGCTCTTGTCCTGCCCCCCGCTAACACCCGATATGGCTTTAGTGCAATTTCTTATTTGGGCGCTGCCAGGTGGAATACACTTCCACCGTCTTGCCGCATGTCTAGTTCACCAGCTGAATTTCGCTCATCCATCAAATTATACCTAGGGTTCCCTGTAAAAAGGCGCTGACGCCTGTTGGGGATTCCCTAGTAAAAGAATAATAAATAATAATAATCATTCTCGCATCAGTTGTAGTGTCACTTCCTCGTAAGGGTTGCGGTGCCTGTATGGCATGCTCCTCCACCAATGAGCGCGTACAATGGCTCTTCACACTATTCTCACATTTAGCAGCTTGCATATGCCAACGTTCTATGTGGAAAACGTGCACTTGCGCCATTTCTCCTCTATAAGAATGATCATTCCTTTACACTCCAAAACATCATTATCATCTTCTATTGATGAGCTCGAAGCAGCGAAACAGCTGCTAGAGGCGTGAAAATTATCTGTCAACGGAAGTGTCCTTGCTGTGCTGGTGTCTTTATGCTTCGTGCATTGGTTCGGCTGGGAGCGCGTGTTGCGTGTTGGTGACGAGTTGGGAATGCAGTAAACTAAAGATACCATCCACAGAAGTCAGCTCAGTATGCAACTACGCTTTGGCTTAACTATGCTTTGGCTTTCCTAGAACACAATACTCGGTTGTGTTGTGTACATAGTTATGACTTCAATGGCGCTTGCATAGCTGGGTACAACTTGTACTTACTTTGGTTTCTTCCTTTACGTGCAGTCTTCAGCTTGGAGAGCTCTGATGTCATGGTCTGTGCGTTGGCTAATATATTCAGATAGGCTGCAATATCTGCAGTGATCCACCAGTCAAGGCAAACTGAACCGACTGCACACACGTGCAGGTCAATTAAAAACAATACAGCAGTACATGTACAGATACATCAAGATGCATCAAGAGCACATATTAACCTGGTACCGGTACATGTATTTTGATACGATTGTGTCGAAAGGAAGAAAAAAAGAAACTGCCCCCTGTGAGGATCGAACTCACGACCTTCAGATTATGAGACTGACGCGCTGCCTACTGCGCTAAGGAGGCAGACATGCATCTGTCCGCATTGAACAAAATTGCAGGCACTACCCCGGCAGTGCCGCACAACAGCACTACACGGGAAAGACCCACAGGGAATCAATGGCTAGGAAAGTCCGAGCACTTGCTCGATAACTACACTGAGGAGCTATAGTGCACATGGTGGGTTTCACCAGAAATTCAGGAGCTGCTTGACCCGGAGAGCGGAAAGTACACTTGCGACGGGATGTTACCCGTACTCGCCGGCACTGTAGTAGATGACCCACAATGGACCCATTCATTTCACGGCTCGGATTTAGAATGAACAACCACTGCAAGCCCCATGTACTGTATTCACATAAGCAACAGTACAAGGGTAACAGACTACAAGTACAACGATGAAAGGACACAGTACCGTGTTCGCTATCGGACTCTATACATAAGAGTCATTTTGTTCATGGTTCTCATTAATTGTGTTGGGTTTACTGAAAACTATTCACCGGTGACGCTCTGTTTGTCCGTAAAAGCGGCTTTTTCACGCCGCCAGCGAGAGAGCGAGAGGCCAGAAAAATGAAAGGATACAGGCTAGGCGGCTGCAAGGCACGATGTCCCGCTCGCCCGGCATGTGCACCAGCGTCTCCAGGAAGAGGCGGCGGCGGAGGTTCTCCGCTCCGGGCGGGCACTGCATCTCCAGACACTCGGTGAACTCAATCTCGCTCATCCACAGTGCCTCGCGGGTAGGATGCAGCTTCAGTCGAGACTCCCACTGCCAGGGCCGCATTGTTCGCACAATGCACACAGAGCCAGGAAAGCAAATGCAAACACCGATAGAATATTAGTACACCCGGCATGGCACTATGATGCAGATACAGTGTAATGCTTCACAGTAAGTTGGAATGAGCAATATGCAGGCACTGAGAGAAAGTTGCTGAAGCCAGTATACTAGTTAGGATCTAGCACGCTGAATGTTTCAAGATTACCTCAGACACCCATGGTTCAATGCGTTTGATGAGCATGTACAGCGTGTACTCAAATGCTCCATCCTTCGTCGGACGGTTCTCCACAAACGACGCAAATCCCATCGTCAGCTGTTCAATGTCATCTTCCTGCAAAACAAAATCCGAAACCATAGATTGAAGAGAGAGAGGGGGGGGGGGGGGGGCAGAACACCTTTTTCCAATGCAACACATCACTAGAGTTTGTGTGTGAAACATGACCAGCTACATGCTATGAAGGCTATCTCCTGATTATGTTACATGTACGCATGCTTCAGTGTTACAGGTCACCGGTTGATTTTGCTAGCTTGAACCTTTTTGAAGGTGGCGAGTCTGGGGTGCCGCTGGAAAGTGTATAAAAAAAGTTGTTGATGCAAAATGTCGTAACACCAGACAGAATCACGTTCACCGAGCTAGCGGAATCCTGAACCAGCATCACACGTACCGTGTAGAATGGGTACACGATGGCTGCAAACTGCTCATACTCAGTAACTGTGTACCATTCCAAGATGCCGAGAAGTTCACAGAGCAGTGTCAGATAGCGGAAGCATGCCGGATCAATGGTACCAGCGAGCTGCTCACCGAACAGCCACACCACCTTTTGCAAGGAATCAAGGAATTGCGTTGAACACACACACACACACACGCACGCATGCACACATACACACACACACACATACACACACAGACAAGCGTGTACACACATTATTGTACACACATACGTCGAAGTACTAGCATTGTCACGGATGCAGCTGGGTCAAGTCGACAAAAAAATCTGCTGTACGCCGCATTTCATGAAACAACATCATTTCGCAGCTGCAATTATGATTCTAAAAGAACCGTCAATCCTGGCCTTATCAGTGTTTCTGGAATACTTTAGAGGCATGTTTCAATATTTCCTTATCTTACCCTCTTCTCGCCGGAGTATGTGACGACAGATTGCAGGAAGTCAAACGCTCCGTGATAAGCAATATCAGCAATGACGTATCTCTCCTTGAAGTAGCGATACAGCATATCCTGCAGCCAAAGACGGGTTCAAATGGAGTGGGTAAACAATGACACCAAGAAACTTGTGCCTTTTAGGGTTTCAGCTGGGTAACACAAGGGGAGGCTTCACAGTGGGAAAGACCAGTAAAATTATTGGGAATATTCTACAATACAAAAGCTACTTCAAGTAGCATGCCTATTTGATGGGAGCTTTCCCAACACTCCTGTCATTGGTTTGTGCAGGGATATTCGATGCAGTCGTACACAGTCGTTGTGATCGTGATTGGGCCAGCCGGATCAGCATCAAAAGTCCATGAAATGTACATGGTCCTACCCCCCCCCCCCCCCCCCGTACACTACATGTAGATAGCAACCGTATCGGCAAAACAGTGGACGAGCCCCCCCCCCCCCCAGATCATGATAACTATCGCGTTCATGCATTGTATGAGACATGCGACTTAACCGGCAAACTTACCAGTATGGACACTGGTATCTCCTCGTCCACATCGTACTCATCTTGCCATATCACTCGGCTATAGAACTGCTCAATGATTGAAAGACACCGGCTCTAGCATGGGAAAGCACACGGGCAGCAGCATAAACTGATTATTATTTGAAGTACAGGTCTATAATGAAGTACCGTAGGACATCCACAATCCCCAGCATCCTATTTCCACTCCATGTAGTGTGGTTCGATGCGGATAAGGGGCAAGAGTACGATAACCTGCAAGAGCGTGCAACTGCCTATACAGCCTCCTTGTGATGTGTAGTTCTGCTGTCTCATACCCCATAAACTGGAGTTGCACACTCTTGGGGGTTAACTAACTAGCAGCACTCTTCGTAACAGTTAGAATGACAAGAGTACTGGGTGTAGATGAGTGCAAGGCCACGGTCTATCGTGGACCTGGACATACCAGCGACAGTTGCCTCGGGATGGGCCGCGGTTGCTGCACTCGCTTCTCATAGTCTTCCCAGACCTTCTGAACAATGGTTTCATACTCCGGACGACTCCTCTCCTTGTTCAACACAAAACCCCTGTTCCAAAGCAGCAAACAGCATGATTAGACACTATGTATTCGTGTGCCGCACCTACTCGTTTATTAGGAGCAGGCCCGCCGGAACCAGTCCGGTTGGTCAAGTCGTAACCGGACCAGCCTTGTGGCCACCAACACATGGTTACTGCTAAGGAGGTTATTCGTGCCTGGCATACCATACACGAAGTATGAAAGGCTACGGTATAGACAGACCAACCAAAAACTGCTTCCGGCGGTCCTGAGGAGTACCCTACCTTTAACACACATGATCTACTTGCTGAGGCTTGGGATTGTATTTTAGCAGAAGACCAAGCCATTTGCTTTCCCACACCGGTGCTCCGGCTACAACCTCACCCGATGCTCTGTCCAGACAGACGGTCCACAGGTGCCTCTGGTTTGCTGGCCAGCAGCTTCACGCCCGGCCGTGTTATCATGATGTGGGAGCAGTTGAGTGGCAGCTGGACGACGTGCTCCCGCTCTAGGCAGCGATGCGGACACAGAACCGTCTACAGTTGCAAACAGAGCCACAAAGCCGCACAAAGAGCGCACTCACAACCAAGAACACCTTAGCGTGAACAGAAGAAGGCAAGGTGCACCGGTCAGAGGGATACTCCATCTAAGGAGAAGTTTCCATGATTGAGTGATGCGCTACTTGCCTGGCACATCTGTAGAAGTCGTTGCCACTACAGCACAGTGCATGTTATGATCCGATGTGTGTGAGAACGTACGCAGCTTCATCAGCAGTTATGCTGCGGATCATCAGTAGAGCCACATTCCAACACAGTATGCTCTCATCAGTGTTGCTGACACAGCGAATGGATGAGTCACGCATTTTTATCTTGACTCTGGCACCTGCATTTTAGTGCACCAGGGCACGTGCCTGGTGATGCAACTCAAGGTTATCCCAACAGGCAACATCGAGAGAAAACAGCATCCTATACCTTTTCCCCGCAGCTACTACAGAAACGAGAGTCCTTCATCTGTGCGAATGTCTTGCCCTGGTTTGTCGATGTGTACATCTGGAAAAAAAGAAAGTAGGGGAAATGCAAGACACACAAACTTCTAGTTGGTTCTGTTTCTCATTGCAACTCGCAATCAAATTAAAAACACAAAAATGATCAAGTTCTGTTGAAACATGTCACTGAGGAAATATTTCACAGTTTCAAAAGATTCCACGAGGACACTTGGCTAGCTAATGTCTATGTGCGTAGCCACATTGGGATACAGTCAGTACATTACAAGGCATCAGCAGGGGTCCACCTACCATTGCACCATACTTGCTGATGAGGCTCTCATTGGGTATCAGTGATTCGGCCTGCTCTTCCTTGTGGGCCGCAGTTGCCGCTCCCGCAGTCCCGTCAGACGTGTTGCCCGGCAAACTGCTCTCCAGTCCCAGGACGGAATTCTGCTGCTTCTTTTTCTCTTGCTCTTCTTGCATGGTCTTCAGTTCCTTCTCCACTGCTTCAATCTGCACTGCCAGCAGGCTCAGCTATTCATAATCCAATGTTGTGCAGAATATGAGAATACGGTGTCGCAAATATGACAAAGGAGTTACAACAATGGTTCCACTCAAAAGACGTAGTCTAAAGACGCTCGAAGTGGATTTTGGATGTACAGTATAGAAATTGGGTAGAGTTACCACTGATTGCATAATTGGTACATCTGCACTTGTTCCTAGGAAACATTATGTGAGTTTGAAACGATACATTGATAGTGGAAAGAGTGAAGATCAGACATACTGTTACTATAAACTGGACCTTTTCAATTCTGCACACTTGCAGTGGGTACCTCATCAGACGTCTCCATAGTTCCTCTCTTGTATCTGTCTTGGGCAGCCTTCAGCTGCATACAACCAAAGATCAAGCGTACATAATGATGCCCGACCGACCATGATCAGAAGCAACAGCGGAGTGGTGTAGGGTCAGGGCATGTGCACACTTCCACTTCTACTTCCACATGGCCATCGCTGAAGCAATGATAGCAAACACACTATGTTAGACATAGCAACTTGTGCTGGCATTCACCACCTTGCAAGGCTGGTAAATTGCCCATCACTAATTTTAACCTGGTCTACACCACACAGTTGATTGAAGTGGATTTTTCTGGCCAGTGAATATGTGTACACACGCACACGCACGCATGCACTCACACACGCATGCACTCACGCACATACGCGCACACGCACACACACACACACACACACACACACACACACACACACACACACACACACACACACACACACACACACACACACACACCACTCTCCCTTACTTTTAACTACACACATGCACTACAAGAGGGTTTGTTTCTTCAGTTCAGCTTGGATTCCCTTACTGCTTTGTTCAGCGGTGCTTCTTGATCCGTCTCGTCAAACACAAACTTTGACAAGCCTTGCTTATTCTTCTCCACAAAGCCATCATACTCTGAAATAACAATCATAATTGCAGTCAAATACTGGTAAATTGTCAATTTATCAGCAGAAACACAACAGCCACTATTGCACTTTCTAAACTAACCACTTACAACAACAATGACAAGTATTAAAAGTGAATGGTGTGCATGTGGGTTAACCCTATAACTACATCAAGCAGTCGGAATTGCATCTTTGATGAACATTTCTCTAAAGTTTTCACCCGGTACTGGCTGGCATACCTTCAATTGTCATATTCTGCATCTCTATGAGCTGTTGCTGGAGGCGTCTCGCCTGCGCCAAGTTGTTCAGTAGCTGGTTCTGCATCAAGACGGTAAGAATCAATACGAACGATAGAACCATATTGTGGTGTCTCTCTCTGTAGTACTAATGTTACTACTCTGCACTACTTCACTATCTATGTATTGCGCATGCGCACAAGAGCTTCTTGTTCTTATTTTAGTCTGGTCTTCTTCCAAGGCTTTTTCCAATAACAATAATGACTTGATGATGTTTGACCAATGGTTGGTACATAACACATATGCACCATATGAAGACAACACAGCACAGCATGTGACACAGCTTGACGTGCCACATTATTCATCTTGGATATTTCCAGGCTCTTTCCGAGAAAACCCCGCTCCACAGTATGTCGTACACATAATATAGTATTTCCCTGGCTAGAAGTTCCATCCAATTATAAGTCACACTCCCCATTTTAGGTCTCTGTAGTACAGTTACAGCGTCCCAAACCGGAACAACGCTTCACGCAGCTACACTGTAACAAAAAAAAGGTCAGTATGGCAACACTTAGTTGCACTGCTATTCACACAGCCAGTCGGAAGTTTTTGCTCGATGTTTCGGTCACAATGACCAGCTTCAGAATGCAGTAGGCAAGGAAGCAAGGCAGACTTAAAAACAAGAAGCTGGCTAGGTGAGGCAGGAGGCTGTCAAGATCCGGGACATGGAGCCCAACATAACATTTATTACCAGTTCTAGATGAGACCTTCTTTGCCACATAACTGCTTAACTATAATACCTGCTCCCGGTAGCATAGGAGCACGCAGTGGTAGGGTGTCAATTCTATTTAAGACTTTAATTAAGTGGACAGGTAGCAAGGATGGTTATTAACGGATGACATTCGGAAATCTGGCAATCATGTATCCTGCACACATACCTGCTTAGTGGCAAATGCCGTCCGCAGTCGTTTGGTAACCGGCTGTGCCTCAGCAAATGCTGTCACGGGACAGATTAAACAAACAGAAAGTGTCCAGCGTTCTTAGTTGAGACCCACCAGTGTATCGTAGCATGTGATCCCAAGGCTTATCTGGGCCTACGCATGTTGCATGACTACCTGATCATGCACTGTATACAGTGCTGGTAACACAACTCCTGGTTCCCACACGTGAACATGTACACCACATGCATGTATGTACAACGTTTGACTCGGTGAACGGCGTGACACTGAAACGCCTATATATATGTTTAAAGTACACCCAATGTTGTATACATTAAGTATTAATTATTTCACTTCTCGCTTACATACTAACTAGTTAGGCCAATCACTACTTGAAATTCAAATCTCACCTTCATTAGCGGCTTCGAAGCCTTCTCGGAAATGATGCAGGGCCTTGATCTCCTTGCTAGCAGTATGGAGTGCTGTCTGTAATACAAAGAAGCGGACAGTGATGAAAACAACTAAAGATGAGGACATTGGTCATTCTTGAGCAGTACACCATGCACCAATGCGAGCAGCTATACCATGCACCAATGCGAGCAGCTATACCGCAAAAGTCCGTAAATAAGTACGTATTTACTTTCAAATTTAGTGGCCACACCCGTACTAACTTTCGGGCGATACTGATTTTCGGGCACGAACTAACGTTCGGACCTATATTAAACTTGTGTGTAGTGGAGTCCGAGAAGTCATTTTCGTGTAGATGTACATGCTACGTGCTGCCTGTGCGCACCGTCCCGGTACATGTGTACTTATTTCGGGCAATATGTTTATTGGGCTTGTCTTCACTTCAACAGACGGGGTCAAAAGGATGAAGGGGTATATATTTCGGGTAGGTAGTTCTTGAGAAGAAGTAGCGACGACCAGGTACAGTGAAACCTGTCTAAGGCGACCACTCAAGGGACGAGAACAAGTGGTCACCTTGGCCAGGTGGTCTTCGTATCCAGGTTCCATGGGTCACGTGACTATTCACAATATACATGATGTGACATACCATTTTGATCAGTGTATCACACTGTACACACCTACGCATGACTCATGAGTCATGTGCCTGGCCGGGCCCTCAGACATGCTAAGTGTCTGTGCATGCACCATGTACATCTACAATCATGTACACTTACTGCCCGGCTCATGTGTAGATATTAGGGGTGAAACGAGTATCTATTTTGACCAACCGATCACTCGTTCATAATATTCGATCGAGTATCCGATTATTTCGAGTATTTTATCAAAATTCAAAAGCGCTAGATTTGCAAGTTCTCAACCAATTCGGAAGAAATTATCTGTGAACATAGAACAAAAGTCGCCAACGTCTTGTACAGAGTGTAAAGTAACGATTTTCATCAGTACTTTCATATCTCAGAACGTTACTTGCCGTGGTGATCGCATCGTCCAAGTCTTAAAATACTGACTCAAAGCCATGCATAACGCATGCATACCAGTGGACCAGCGGTACAACAAAAGTTAAAAAAATACAATGCCAATCCTAAAAAAAAAAAAAAAAACCGATCGAGTGCAAAATTTCGAATACTCGCTCGTTTGAAATTTTCGAACGAATACTCGAATATTCGAACTAATCGTTTCACCCCTAGTAGATATCTACCAATCCATGCACGGTGCACAGACAGTGCAATGCGTGCATGTACACGACTGTACAGTGTACAATATGTACATGTAGCAGTGTACAAAGCGGTCGCGGGTGGGTAGTCGTTGGTCGCGTTGGGCGAGTGGTCGCCTTATCCGAGCTGTTTTGAATGTGAATGCGTCCGCGACAAGGAAAAGTGGTCGCCATGGTCGAGTGGTCGCTGTAGTGAGCTGGCCAGAATGTAATGATTACTGGAATGACAAGAGACTATAACATACAGCAGTGTGAATGTAGCACATCATGAAGGTGTGAGTACGACACATGCAGTGATGTGTAGAATGCAACATATGACAGCTAGGTGGTGTAAGAACAACGCAGTCACTATCACTACATCACTCCTTCTCCCAAACAAAAAGCCGGTGCCGGGGAAAGCAATAGAAGGAATTTAAAAAGAGAAAAAGAAGAGAGAACACAATATGAAGTTTTGAATTTCAAAGCACCCAATGGAGGAAGATAGGAACTCAACTTCAAAAAAACACAAAAAGTTGTCAAGTTGAACTTTCAGAGTGAGTATGATGCATTGTTGCAATAATCTTTTAGGATAAACTGTCTGCGTAGAGCCGTGCCTTCTCAGTAAATTTGATATGCCGTCCGGAGCGAGTGACTGCACCATCGACGAATGAGCGCTTGCCGGAAGCAGCTGGAGTGTGTTCCTTCGGAGCAGGCTGGCTTTCACGTGCAGATGAAGGTTGAGAGAGCGGCATGTTGTGGCATGGCGAGCCCGGAGGCCGATCCACAGACGGTAGACATGCCGAAACAGCACCTGGCACTGTAGACTGACCAATCCGAGCAGACTGTCCAGTTCCGGTTCTATCTGGTTCCGGCACTGATGGCTGACCGATCCGAGGAGCCGCCTGTGCTGGCGCTCGCTGAAGGTCCACCTCATGACGGCTGAAAGACGGGTTCGCTGACGACATGGGTGGAGAATCGTTGGGGCGATGCGGTGAAACAAACTCTCGTACATGCTGCCTATTCCTCAGTAGGTAGCGAGAGCCATCGGTCACTCCTACCTGACGGCCGAACTGGTTCACCACGGTCCATGACTGAGACTTGTCGCAGTACCCGTCCTGCACAGTGACTTTTGTGCCGGGCCGAAGCTCAGAAAGCATTCTCACGCCACGTCGGGAGTCGTGTTGTGCAGACATTTCAGCTTTTGCTTTCAGCTGGTGCTGGGGATTCACAACGGTGGGGTGGAGTTGTGCCGGGACTCTTGTACGCAGTGGTCGAGAGAACAAAGCTTCACTTGGTGATGTACCGAGCATTCTATGCCTAGAACATCGAATGTCAAACAACACTTGGTTAAGACGCCTCTGGAAAGGGAGATGTGGCTTAAGAGCAGACAGTCTCTCCCTTAACACTCGATGCAGACGCTCCACCATGCCATTCGAGCGGGCATACCTTGGGCTGGATCGTACATGTGTAATTGTAAGCCGGCTGAGAAATGAAGACATCTCCCCAGAGACAAACTGAGGGCCGTTGTCCGAAACTAAAGTCTCGGGAAGACCAAATGCAGAGAATACCTCATCAAGTTCATTGATGACGGAAGCTGAGGTTGTCGAGCGCATTATCTTCAGAATAGGGTACCTGGAGCCATAATCGACTATGGAATCGAGTACCCCTCAATGGATACGATGTCCACTGCCAGCTTTCTCCAGACGCCAACAACCTCAGTTGGTTGGAGCTCTTGCGCATTATTGGTACGTCTCCTCCAGCATTCAGAGCAGCGTTCCACGTATGTGCTTGCATCCTTAGTCATTCCTGGCCACCAGACTCTCTGGCGCAGGGTGTCTTGGAAGGCCTCTTGTCCAGGATGTCCTTCGTGTGCTAGGGTCATGATCGCTGTTCGTAAACCTTCAGGAATAACGAATCTGCCACCGAACATTAAGATGCCATCTACCACTGTCAGCTGATCACGGACGAGATAGTAGGGGTGCTCCGGTGGCAAAATGTCAAGCCACGAATCATACAGTACGCGTTGAATCACTTTGCTCACTACTGGATCATCTTGTGCAGCACAACGAATGTCTGCAATGCCTACTGGAGCGGCTTCCAAAACTAGGCCAACATACTCATGGAGAGAACGCGATTCGGCTGGAGAAGCATCAGTAGACGCTACCGGGGCTCTGGAAAGTGCATCAGTACAGAAGAGCTCCTTCCCTGGAACATGCTTGAGGGAGTAATCGTACGGCATGAGCGCGACTAACCAGCGCTGCAATCGAGGCGGCACATCGTCAAATGCCTTCTGCACAATCGGTATGAGAGGTTTGTGATCAGTGTACACCTGTACATGACGACCCAGAACATACTGGCGAAAACGGGTCAGTGCAAACACTATGCCGAGCATCTCGCGCTCCATCTGCGAATATCGGGACTCTGTGTCCGTGAGCGTGCGGCTGGCGCATGTAATGGGCAGCCATTGTCCCGCCTTGCTTTGCTGCCACAGAATAGCTCCCAGACCAGAAGGTGAGGCATCGGAGCTGATTGCTGTCGGTACGTTTACATCCGGCTGGAAATATGCAAGTGTTTGCAATGAAGAGACTACAGCTTGCTTAGCTGTGGAGAACGCTTTGAGAAGATCATCGTTCACAGTGAATGGTTCACGCTTCATCAGCTGGCGTAACGGCTCTGTGGCTTCAGTCAGGCGAGGAACAAACTTTCCTAAGTACGTGACCATACCCAAGAAGCGGTGTGCATCCGCTGCAGTCTTTGGGGCGGCCATGTCGGCGATAGCGCTTAGCTTGCTGCTGTCCGGCTGAACTCCATCTCTGGTCAACGTGTGGCCCAGGTACTTGACCTGGTCTTTGCCGATGTGACACTTGGCCCAGTTCAGCTTGAGGTTTGCTGCCTTCAGGCGTTCCAAGACACTCGCCAGGCGAGCATCATGCTCAACTTGATTCCTTCCGAAAATCAATATGTCATCTATGTACACAATAACACCCGGCAGGCCAACTAGAATATCCGACACCACTCGCTGAAAGATTTCGGGGGCGCATGAAATACCAAATGGCAGTCTCTTGAATCGATACGATCCACAGTGTGAAGCAAACGTTGTAAACGATCGTGATTCTTCCTCCAGTAACAGCTGGTGGAATCCCGATTCGGTATCCAACACTGAGAATACTTGTGCTCCTGCTAACTCGCTGGTTATTTCGTCTACCGTTGGGAGAGAATGGCGTTCTCTAATGATGGACTTATTCAGCTGTCTATAATCCACACATAACCGGAGTGTACCGTTAGACTTACGGACAGGCACAACGGGCGAGACCCAAGGCGATGCCTCCTTCACGGGCTCAATGATGTCAGCCTTAGCCAGGCGTGCCAACTCCTTTTCTATGTCGGCTTTGGCACTAAATGGAGGGCGACGAGCTGGTTGGGCTACCGGTCTAGCGCTCTTGTCCACAGTGATAGAAACTGGAGCAGTTTCAACAAGACGTGCTGTATCTGCCATGTGTGCATTCACAAGCAGTTCCAATTGTGAGATGACATCTTGTCCAAACAATACAGAACGCTTGCCAGCCGGTACAACGAAACATTCACAGAGAATGGTGTTGTCTCCTACAGCAATATCGACGTCCGCCATGCCAAGAGTCTTCACTTCGCCACCGTTGTATGCTCGAAGTATGCGGTCACTTGAGCGGGTAGGCTGCACCACATCATCCGTGAGAATGGTGCGTGTTGCTCCGGTGTCAAGCAATCCCTCACATGGCTTGCCATTCACCATCAGTGTCATGGTGAACTGGCCTCTGGCTGCCTTATCGCTGCACGCGAAAATAGAATCATA